CTGGAGAATTCTGGGAATTGAAGTCCACCCATCTTCAAGCTGCCAAGGTTGAGAAACACTGTTCTAACAAGGTTCAACCTGCCAAGGTTGAGAAACACGGTTCTAACCTAGCCATGGCTGGCTGGAGAATTCTGGGAATTGAAGTCCACCCATCTTCAAGCTGCCAAGGTTGAGAAGCACTAGGCCAGAATGCCTGAGAACACAATCCTTAATAGAAAAGGCACTGTTGGGAGTGGAAAAGAAATGGACCTAGAGGTCACAGCCACAGAACAGCCTAATGCAGAGTTTGTTGGACTTAATGGGGACCCATGGACCTGGCTACTTGGACTGCTAAGCCAGGATCTAGAACTTATGCCTCGAGTTAAACAGGTGAGTGGAACATAATCGTCAGAGTCCAACAATCCTCCTGGCTTAGCGTGCTTTTTAAATCAAGCCTGCGTAAAGCTGCTGATTCTTTCCATGATTCCCTGGATCGGCTTCCTATTCCTTTCCACCGCCTGGCCCTTCTTGCAGGGCAGCCACGAAGGAAAAAACAAGGTTTTTCACCATTTGTCAACCGCTCAGAGTCGCCAGGAGTCGGGCAGCATTTACATGTAATACATGATGATGATTAAAACAGTAGATAGAACAGGCTGAAATCGGAAGACAGTCTACAGAACAGTCTGTAGGGCCCCCAGCCTCAGGTGTCTACAGGATGTGGTCAAAAAAGGCACGTCAAAAACAGGGAGAGTTTCAATTGCACCTGCGTGGCCAACATCTTGACTTTTTTGACCAACCTTGCAGACAGCTCTGGGCGCAACCCTGTTCCACTTCTGAAAATCTGGCCCTGGCCCGGGGTGATCAAATGAATGGACTTGGCTCAAATGGTGAAGTTAACCGAGTTAATGAGAAAGAATACTGTTTCTAAATCTGTTTCCTCATAGCAACCACCCTTTTTAGATTACGTGCTTGGGTGGGAAAAAAATGAAGCTTTGATTGGGAGATTTCATGATTAGATGGTTTGTGCTGATAGAAATAATGTGAATTTGGATTAATTAGTGGTAAGAGATCAATCTTTTTTTCATTTGTACTTATATCTGTATTGGAGATAGTCGGAAGTCATTTTCCGCTTCATTTTTCTATCGGTTCTCACTATCTTAGTTTTTGTCTTTTTTTTAGTTCTGTCTTCTTTCTTTTCTATACTTTCTGATTTGTATTTTAACTGTGCTTTTTATATATCTCAATAAAAGTTTCATTTAAAAAAATGAATATCTGACCCTGGCCCGTCCCACAGGCTCTGGGGTTAGGCCACGTTACGACCCACTTTCTGCTGTCAGATCTCTGCCTTTTGGGTTTTCATTCATTCTGTTCTTTTCCCCCCAATGCACCACTGGGAGTGACTGTCTACGGTTGGTTGGTGGACTGATTTTTTATTATCACCATTTATTGAATGAATGAATGAATGAATGAATGAATGAATGAATGAATGGCTTTCTAGGGTGGCCCAATTCAGGCAACAGGACTCTAGGTGACATCCAACGAAAACAAAACTACAACCCAAAAAATTCTCGTGGGTTTTTTTCATCCTAACACGTAAATTGCCCAGAGCGGCCTTTGCGAGAGGGTGCACAGGCTAATGAACTGCACAAGAGGGGAAGGAACGAAGCGAAGATGCGTTGGCAGGAAGGCGAAGTGGGAAGGCGATCAGCAAGGCTGCCTTTCCACGCCACCGAGACCGAAAAGGAAAGGCCAAAAAATAAAGCTTGCTTTTGGGGGGCCCTGAAAGGACCGAGCACTTGTGACCTGTCCTCAGCGAAACGCAGGACAGGCTTTCTGGAGCCCCGCTGGAAAGGGAAATCCCCCGGGAACCCGATCAAGGAAAGGGCGGGAGGGAGAAGCTGACCCACCCGATCCCTTTTCTTTCAAAGGTGACCCAAATCAACGGCGGCTCTTCTGATAGTTTTCCACAGCGATACCCATCGCGAGGGCTGTCTTTGCACAACGCGTTCGGCCAGGCCGGTGAAGCCCAGGGGCTGCGGTCACACAAAGAGTCCAGCTGGGCTCGTTCCAACCCTTTTGGGCTTGTTGTTCGGCTGTGGAGCAACTCTGCCCTTGTGCGTTCATTATGGTCCAGCCTTTTGCGCCCCCCAGAAGAATGGGCGGATTTGGCCACTGTGCTCGCTGTGCTGAGCGAAGGCAACTTCATGACTTCAGATGGATGG